TTTTACTGGTTTTCAAGTTTTTGTAAAGGCATTCATGTGTTTTCATCATGGCCACAAATGCAGACTGAATAAGACTGGATAAACAAATGGTAACCATGGTGACATGATAGGCATATATCAGAGTCCTCTCTGCCACATCTGTTTACAACCTCAACAGGGGTTGTTCACAACCGTAACAGAAATGATTAACAACATTGGCAGTGCCCTTCACAACTCACTCGGGGTATAACACAGCTGTTAACTTAATTATATTATGAGCACATATAACGACCTTAATAGCAAAAATTGGGAGTATTTTAAAGTTATTAACAGCTTTAAAAGAACCAAATCATATTACAGTAGATTTTTATTGCAGCAATTCATTTACAACCTCAACAGGGATTGTTGACAACCCGAACAGAATTGGTTAACAACCTTCGCATTGCCCCTGACAACTGACGCTGGGGATACCACAACCTCCACATGAGATCTAATTCTAACCAAATCATATCATATTATGACTTTAACACAGCTCGAATGTCTTAAGAAATCACTGAACACTGGAAGTAGGAGAAATTGTCACTTTATATCAGTAACATAATTGAGACTACTAATGACAACCTGCATGGCGTCTAATAACAAGTCTATTACAACCTATTCACCAGTACATCAAAAATACAGAACTGATGTTATATCAGATTACAACCAGGTGTCATTTACCACTTGATATATATATGTACAACATAACTACACCAAATTTACAACCTATTCAAAAAAGCATACGTGTTGCATGTGTGGATAATGACGGACAACTTGAGGTGTAAGTTATGACATTTACAAAAAAAATGCTGTCACAAGCATTCACAAAACGAAATATCAACAAGCCACCAGCAAAGCTCAACTTGGATTGGGGTTCTGGCAAGTCTTCACAGTGTGGCCTGGCTCATGGCATCTTCCACAGTGGTGAAGTTTTTTACTTTGAAATTGAGATTCAATCCTTCTTTTCTTTGGCCTCCCTGAGGGTCTTTTAGTGATTGGTGGCTGTAAAAATGTTCCCGTCATCATCTGTGTAACGGTGAGAGCTTCGGGACGAGGACAATCATGTGTCGCAATTGGCCTCATACTACTTGCATATATCTTCTCTTGGGCTGACAGCTTATAGCAATCATCTACAAATTCATAAACACTACCATGAAGTAGCTTTATCACTGCACAGGCATGAGCACAAGGTACTCTGCTCATTTGCCATGCTAAACAAGTACATTTCTGAGCTGTGAGATCAACAGTGACACAAATTATTCCAGTAGGAGATGTAGTATCAACTTGAACTCAGTTATCTCCATAATATACAGTATGCATATTCTCCGCTCTTGCTACTTTTTCTTGCAACTTGGACTCAATATTTGGCCCAACGCCATTTGTCCAATTTTCCATTGCCATTTTGCTTGCAACCATCTTCTTGGCTAATTTCTCCATATGCTCATGTATGAGAACTGACACATTGTGCTTCCTCTCCTTCAAAATCCAGGCATTAAACGACTCAGCAACATTAGTGGTGATGTTATCCCATCGTTTAAACGGGAACTTGCTTAAAGCCCACCGATCTACATCTCCTTGAGTGTCAACCCAATCAGCCAATTGTGGACAGAATGATCTAAGTTTCCCCATTGCAGCAACATATTCATCCTCAATCCTTGCATAGGCGATTCCATCCAGCATTTTCAATGCAACGTCCTTTGAAGTACCTGAAACTCGTCCCCTGCCTCGGTTAATTTTTAAATAATGTGCACTAAAATTTTCTTTCACATGCCTATAACAAAAAGCATGTCTCTCGCCACCAAATATTGTTCGCACAACACCTATAATGGCATTATTCCGATCTGAAACTATCGTTGTCTCCACTGATCTTGTGATGTCTTTGACGTTCTGGAGAAACCAAGCCCAATCATCATATGTCTCCCCACTAACTATAGCATATGCTAATGGAAATAGTTCATTGTCTACATCATATGCATTAGCTGAAATCAATGTCCCCCTGTAAGGACCACTTAGATGACAGCCGTCTATATAAAGTATATGTCGACACCCTTCTAAAAATCCATTAATTGAGCATCCATAAGCAATGAACACCCTCTGAAATCTGTTACTATCCAACCCTTCCCATCGAGCACTTGTGTTTGGATCAGTTTCAATGAGCCTTTCACAAATCTAGGGAATTGCCATGTATGAATCCTGTGCACGACCATGTATTTCCCTCAATGCTCTTTCTCTACCCCTGTATGCTTGATTATAATTCAGTCGCACCCCATATTCTCTATACAGATCTCTTCTAATTTCATTAGCATTCTTGTCTATATTACACCTCAAAGAATCTATCATGATTGATGATGTTAAGTTTGACCCTCTAGAGTGAGATACAACCAAGCTGTCCTGTGCATAATGCACATGCTCACTTCTTAAGGTTCTAATTATTAACAACTCAGAATCTTGTCTTTGTCCCATTGAGTATGCACCCATATACCACGGGCATCCCTCCGCCATACACTTCACAATGATCTTTTGTTGATTGTTCTTCACAAACTTGTATGAAAACTTCACAGCAATACTGTACCTATACAGTGCTTGCCTAAGAGCCACTGCATTAGGAAAAATCTGTCCTTCTCCGATAACCAAACCCTTCCACTTTGTTGAATTCATTTCCGGAATTGGGGTTGGCATCATTTCTGAACCACATAGCAACAATAGTGGGTCTTCACTAACCACATTAGGTGGAGACATGGACAATGTATCTGAACCTCCGAACAAGTCTTCCATCCTACATAACAGAACAGGTCAAGGGGTCGTTAATGACAACCTTCGATCACTATAATAACAACTTATGCACAACAGTTGATAATAGCTAATATTACTTCAAAATTTAAATAACACAACTTACACATGTTGCTCTTCTATTACAACATCCCTTGTTAGTTGTGAATTTTGATCTCCATTTTCTCCTATATATACATGACCATTGTCGCCATTGAAGTTAATCAAATGTTCTACTCCTTCATCATCTACAAGGTCCACAAATGTACACTCATCAAAGGTTACTGTGAATTTCATAACCATTCCATTACTTTCTTTTCCTACAATTGATGCCACCATTGTTCTAAATTCTCCATATGACGTCCCTTCCTTTATCATTCTTGTTCTCACACCACCTCCAACATACTGCGTTTCACCTTCTACACCATTAATAAATTGTCCTCCTATATGGAGGTAGCAAAACAATTGCTTTGCACTGGAAGTTGCCATCCTGGATATCAACCTGCCAGAATCACTTGTTAATAACAAGTCATACAGTTATGTTAACAACCTTCAATGTACCCATTAACAACACATTTAACCATCGCATTTGAGGGGTTACAATAATAAATATCTGTTATTTTCCACTCATTTCCATCAGCAACACAGCATCATTGCCCGAAAAACAGAGCATCATTCGCCGAAAAACAGAGCATTGCTTTCTAACCATAGCCACACATAGTAAAACCACACCTAACATGATTAAAACCACATATGACTAAAATGAGCCTCCCTTGATATTTCTAGAGAGCTGAATCACATGCTTAATACCAACGTATAAACACCCAATCAACTTTTCAGACTAGCATTAAAGCTGCGACTGGTTATTAATAACAAGTCATACAGTTATGTTAACAACCTTCGATGTACCCATTAACAACACATTTAACCATCGCATTTGAGGGGTTACAATAATAAATATATGTTATTTTCCACTCATCTTCATCAGCAACACAGCATCAGTGACCAAAAAACAGAGCCTCATTCACCGAAAAACAGAGCATTGCTTTCTAACCCTAGCCACACATAATAAAACCACACCTAACATGATTAAAACCACATATGACTAAAATGAGCCTCCCTTAATATTTCTAGTGAGTTGAATCACATCTTTAATACCCACATATCAACACACAATCAACTTTTCAGACCAACATTAAACTTGACACTGGTTGTGTACAGAAGAAGAGAAATGTTGTTAATGATGAGACATACCAAGAAGATGAAGAAATAATGTCGCTTGCCTACGATGGAGTACCAGCACATAACTCCCTTCTTTCTTTCAGAAGCTTCTCTTCCTTGTGCATGCATAACAAACAACCGCACTAAATGAAGCCAATCAGCGTCTCTCCCTCTTTTCTTTCCTTTATCAATGACTGAGGGCAAGTACGTAATATCACAACTCAAATTATTTACCCAGAGGTCCCTGGGGACTTATGAGGAATTTGGGGATTTCATGGGACCTTCTGGTAGTAAATTGTCTTCTGTGGGACTCTACAGTAATTTTCCCAACATCTTAATGGTTCTGCAAAGATTCGGCTCACGCAACACCCAGGGTTTGACGTACATCTAATACAGCATCAACTTGTGCAATTAACATCTTATCTCTCTCTCTCTCTCTCTCTCTCTTATCCTGCTCCCAAGTTAGCGGGTATTTAAGTACATTGGACTGCTTTTGCAACACCTGGGAAGAAATTGGTCTCTAAAATCGGTGCATTATATTTCTGAATTGACTAAAATATGTCTCTAGAACTGTTGAGCATTATCTTTTTGGCATTTCGAATCTCTCATCAATTCACTTTATTATTTAACTTCTTCTAGATCAAAATTTAAAATTTAATTTCTGAGGTGATTTTTTTTATAAAAAAAAAAATCATTCCCATTTGACATTGTTTCCATATTGAAATCTACTGTAAAATATCTATCCATTTAGAGTAAAATACTCGATTACCCTTCTAGTTTGTATTAATTACACAAACCTCCCCTCTATTTTAAAAATATACAGTTTAGTTTAATCAATTAATACCATTAAAAAAATTCTTAAAATATTATTTTTAACTGAAATTTATATTAAAATAAATTTTATTTACTATTTTATCCCTCATTTTAATAAATTCCTAAATTATATTTTTACAATTACACAATATATTTAGTTAAGAAAAACATAAAAGATTTGATTAAAAATTTAACTAATTTTTTCAAGATATATATACTTAACTAAATATGTTTATAAAAGACTTGATTTTAATCGGTTTAGTTTTATTTGTTGATTGACTGGAGGTTTTAAAATAATTATTTTAGCTAAAAAATTTATTATTTATGAAAAATTATATATATATATATATATGATAGTTATACCATTAAAATTTTGATTAGATTATTTATTTATAAATATTTGAGGTACTATTAAATTTTTTATGGTTCAATTTTGAGGTTTAAATTTCAAATGAGATTTTTAGAATTTAGAACATAAAAATTTCATATTTAGAAATTTTGGAAAATTATTTTATTAAAGTAAATAATTCTTAGCTTCAAAATACTTAATTTTGGGTTTTGAGAGTTGCGAGAATTTAAAATAAAAATTTAACTAATATATAAGTTTAATTAATTAGCTTATATTAATATGTGATTATATTAATTGTGTAAATTAATTATTAGTTGAGCAAAGGATTGACTTTGTGGTAATCCTTTCTATTGCTTTGGCGAGAGGTAACTACTTTCCACTTGTTATATGTGTTAATATGTTGTTTGTGATTATTTTACTATTTTGGAATAATGATTTGCTATTTCAAAGTTAAGGAGATATGTTATACTTTTTGGGCTATAAAAATTCATCTTGTGGGATTTTTGGAATTATGATTGAGCTGTTTGAAAAGCTATATGATCTATATCTTATGGATATATGTTGAGAAAATACTAGATATTTCTTATTATATTGTGAAAGATTGGTTGTGATTTAAATTTTGAGTTGAGTCTTGTTCTACTGCATGGTAAGGCGTCGTTGATGTATATTGGTTGGCTTCCTTCGTCCCCAGAGTGAAAGATAGGCCTTTGTGACTTCTTATTCATCCCCTACGGTGTGGGATAGGCTTATCTGTCTAATTGGTCCCATATAGTGAGGAATAGACTTATGTGGCTTGTGTGTTAGTCCCGTAATGAGGGTTTAGATGATTAAGATTATCTAAACATACATAATTTATATTTCCATTGATATATCTATATTTCTTGAGATTTAATAATGGTCCAACTTGACACCTCACAAGCATGTGCTAGTATGTATGATGAGTCAGAAAGCTGGTTACTGAAGTTTTTGTCTCATCCCGTGGTTTTTACTCTCTTCAGGTAATAGTTCAAGTGGTACCCCATCAGGGAAGACTTCAGAAGCATAGTGTGCTGTTATATCTTGTATAGTCTCTCTGCTTTTGTTTTATGTGCTAATTTATTATATATTGCTACATATGTCCCATCTATTCTAATATTGTAAATAATACTTTTAATTGCTACTATCTAATATGAGAGGGTCATTAGAAAGCTAGTTACCTCTAAGATTCTGCATGTGATGTGACAACCGTTCTTTCAAAACACATTTAAATTAAATCAAACAATTTATTCAAAAGATTAATCATGATAGAAAAAAAACTTTAAAATTATAAAATCATTATCATGATTAAAAGAAATAAACTTATATTACGAGCAATATCAATCATTAACTTGGGTCTTGGACTTTTAAAATCCAGAAATATCATTCAACCATTAGCCCAGACCAAACTCATACTTTCAAACATATAAACTGATAAATCATTTTAATATAAGCTTTGAAGTCCATTAGTCAAAAGTCAACACTTTAAAAAAGTGTTATATGCAGAATCTTAGAGGTATCTGACATTTTAACGGCCCTCCATATCAGATAGTAGTAATTAAAAGTATTAATTTAGAATATTGAAGTAGATGAGCTCTATGTTGCAATATATAATAAATCAGCACATAGAACAAAAATATGAAAGCTATACAAGCTATAACAGCACACTATGTCTCAGAAGCCTTTCCTGATATACCACCACCTGAACTATCACTTGATGATAGTAAAAACCATGGGATAAGACAAATGCCTCAGTAACCAGCTTTCCAACTCATCATACACTAACATGTGCTCGTGAGATGTCAAGTGGGACAATTATTAAATCTCAAGAAATATAGATATATCAAAGAAAATATAAAATATGTATATTTAGATAATCTCAATCATCCAAACCCTCATTATGGGGGCTAACATGTGAAAACCGTTCTCTCAAAACCCTTTTAGATTAAATCTAACAATTTATTCAAAAGATTAACCATAATAAAAAAAAACCTAAAAATTTTGAAATCGCTATCATGATTAAAAGAAATAAACTTATATTACGAGCAACATTATTAATTAATTTGGGTCTTGGACTTCCAAAGTCCAGAAGCCCAAACCAAACTTATATTTTTAAACATACGAATTGATAAATCATTTTAATATAGGCTATAGAGCTCATTAGCCAAAAGTCAACACCTTCAAAAGACTGTCATGTGGAGAGTCTGAGATGTCTTTGGCCTTCTAGTAGCCCTATCATACTAGATAGTAGTAATTAAAAGTATTAGTTTACAACAATAGAGTAGATGAGCCCTATGTGGCAATATATAACAAATCAACACATAAACACAAAAGCAGGGAGGCTATACAAGCTATAACAGCACATTATGCCTCCAGAGCCTTCCCTGATGGGCCACCACTTGAACTATCACCTGAAGATAGGAAAAACCACAGGGTGAGACAAACGTCTCAGTAACCAGCTTTTCAACTAATCATACATACTAACACGTGCTCATGAGGTGTTAAGTGAGACAATTAATAATTATCGAGAAATACAGATATATCCATCGAAATATAATTTCAATCATCCAAACCCTTACTATGGGGCTAACACACAAGCTACATAAGTCTATCCCTCACTATGGGGGATCAATCAGACATATAGGTCTATCCCTCACTCTGAGGGACGAATAAGAAGCCACAAAGGCTTATCCCTCACTATGGGGGAAGAAGGAAGCCAACCAATGTGTACCAATGGCGGCCTTACCATGTGGTAGGATAACGCTCAATCCAAAATCCAAGTAACAACCAATCATTCACATTACAACGAAAAATGTCTCAATCTTTCCTTAGTATAATCCATAAGATATGAATCATATATCTTTTCCAAACTTCTCAATCACAATTCTAAAAATCCCACAAGACAATTTTCATAGCTCAAAAGATATAAGATATCTTCTTG